AGGCGGGGGAGCCCCTGCGGGCCGGGTTTTCACCTCAGAGCGCAGGAAGGGCGAGCCAGGCCCTTGGTCACGGACCCCGGACCTCGTCCGGCCCGGCGCTGCCGTCGCAGGCAGGGCTCCTCCTCAGCACCGGCAGGCAGAGCCTGCCCCTCCAGCCGGCCGACACAGCACGGCCTGATGCAGAGCGGAGGGCGGGCGTTCGTCAACACGGTGCGTGTCCCACTACGCCAACAGCCCTACCGCCAGGCCTTTCTTTGAAGAGCCGGTATTCCTCTGCCTGACATTTTGGGAGGCACTAGCACCCCTGCCCTGGCATAATCTCGCCCCATTCAACCTCGGCCTACTCGAGGTGTGCGGCCAATGGGCTCCAGCTCAGCTCGTGGCGATGCTTTCCTCTTCCCTTCCCACAGCACATGTAACCTACCAGACAAGGCAGACATGGCTGCTGCAGCTGCGACAGCAGAGACCTCCAGAAAACTTGCACAGCAGCAGCAAAGCCATTGGTGGAAACTTGGAGGCTCATTTCCCCGTGTTACTTCAAGATAAAAGTTCACCAGCTTTAACCGCACTATTGTTACTCCATGCATGTGGGTTTAATAGAGATACAGAATTAATCTGCTTTCCTTGGGAATTCTCTCTGCCCACTTACTTACTCATCATTAGATAAGTAACTAGAAAAAGTTAATTGGGGCCCTGACATTAGAGGGGGAAAAAAGTCTCAGAGTCATACGCTGAGTACAGTGTTTATTTAAGACATGCAAACGTGCAAGTGGAAATACATGCAACAAAAGCAGGATGATTGCTGTTAACAGTCTATGTAGTGCCTTCAAAGTACAATTGCTTCCCTACTGATTTGCAGTAAGAACTGTATTCAAAGTCACCCATGTTTGATTAGAATAATAAAAAACCAACAGGGATTTCATTTCCCTTAAAAGAAAACATCCAGTCTAGTAAATTAAAAGAAAACATCCAGTCTAGTAAAGAATCCTAACTGAGCTGTAATGGCTTTCTCCACTGAAGTAGATTCAGCAGAAATTAGGAACACTTTACTGAGGAACAGAAGTTCTTTAAATTTTACATAAGGATTACAAAAAGTGATAAACAGGTTTGTTCCAGTTCAGCTGCATGCTGTGAGGCCCAGGGCAGGAAATAGTTGAGGAGGCATTACACTTGAGATGAATATAGTTTTACTATAGGGCTACTGTAAATGAGGTTATCAAAACTAAAAGAATCTAATTCTTTAATTTTTGAACTATTTGAATACAGAGGATTATTTTTCTAATTCTGTTTGTTACTGCTACAGGAAAAATAAGTGTTATTTCACTTACAGTCAGTTAAGCAGCAAATGAGGAGTCGTGCCTATGACTGTCTCTGAATGGCATCAACAGGTCTGAAAGAGTTCCTTTGTTTTAAATCCAAGAGGCCTTTAGAAACTCTGCCTTGCTACCCTGGCTGCACCAAGGCAAATGAACATTAATCCCATTTTACAGGTAGAGAAAACCAAAATAAAGTGTTAACATTGCTAAGGCCACAGAAGGTATCACCATCAGAGCTCTGGTAGGTACTAACACCTCAGTCCCTTTGTACTCAGATGGCTAGACAATTCATTAAGAGACAGAAACAAAATAAAACCGTTGTTAGAGCTAGAGTTCCAGTCCTCCCCAACAGTGTATCAGGACTCAGTAAATTAGTCCCCACCAGGGAATAACACAGAGACATATAGCAAATGGCGAAACAGAGGCACAGGAAAGGCAAAGTGTGACTTTGCCCAGTGTTACCAGCAGGTCAGCAGTAGAACAGGAGATAGGACCAGCTCTCCCAAGCATCAACCCAGGAAGCAGTCAAAAATGCGACATCAAAATCAAAGGGGTCCTTTGACAGGTCTTTGCTCTTACTGTATAGTCAGGAACTAAATGGTGTGACCTTCCAGAACTCAAACTGGACATCTTTGGTAAAGAAACACTGGGCAACTTTATGGGAAAAGCAGGATGTTTTTCTACAAGACTCGCTAAAAAGTTTTTGAGGCTTTTGTGATAGGATGATCAGAGCTATTGTCAGAGCTGAAATCTATTGAAGTGACAAGCAACAGAGAGGATTGCCCTGGAGGCCTGCTCCAGGGTATGCATTTATTCTCCTCAAATCTACAGGCAAATTAAAAGAAAAAGAAAATAGAGAATTCTAAGTCCCACAAGTACTCTAAAGTGGATAAAAAACACTGGGCACAGCTGGTACTTGGGTTTTAATGAATGGTTTATGGACATAGTGCAACTGTAGCACATTTCACTTTACTCCCTGTATAAAAAATATTAAACATATCAAAGTTGATGGCTGAGCAGTTGTTTAGTCTTAAAATGCTTTCATGCCTTCACTCCTTTTTTGTTTCCCCTCATGGTAATAACTAAAGCTTTCAAAACTGTTTCACAGGCAGTAAACCCAAAGTATTGCCCTAGCCTGATAATTACATGTCTGGAACTTGATTTAGACTCCCCCACTCTTTATCTAAATCCCAAAGATTTTATGCTTCCAAGAGCAAGCTTGCAGTTGTCATAATAAATCCACAAACTTTACATGGAAGCTACAGTATCTCCAGAAAGGAGGTCAATTAGAAGCAGTACATTGTGAAGGTTTCATTTGGACAGGTTTTTTGACAAATTGTGGCAACAATTATTTTGTGGAAGGGCATGCAGAGAAGCATGTTACTCTAACACCTTATTTTCTAGTGGTTAATAGGGGTCATTGAAGGGGTAATGGGGGTGTCCAGCATCTCTTGCTACTAGCTTTCCATTCACCTGTGAAGTAAACAGACTCAAGTCAGAAGGATAAAAATCCATTCTTACTCTCAGTTTCAAATCCTGCATGGTTTAGATTTAAAAATCTTCATACCCCATACATTTGGGAGCACCTTTTTCAGCTTAAACAAAAGCTGTTCCCTCTCTTCCCGAGTCCTCTTAGCACTTCTTAGGGGGAAAAAAATAATTAAAAAAAAGCAGATAGATTTCTGTAGCCTAGAGCAAGAGTCTTTCAAGCTGCTGAGGCTTGAAGAATTAGATTAAGAATAGTTAAAAGCCTTTTGCCTCATAGCTGTTATTGAATAAGTGTTGTAACATGCACGCTTCAAAACACTTTATTGGAGTTGGAGCTTTTGCCCATGTTTCCATGATAGACAGTTGCTGGGCTGCTAATTTTACAGATGGACAAGATGAAACACATTGAATAACATCTTCAGGGTCATATACTGAAGCATTAATAGTGTCACTGAACTTCATAGCACTTTTTGTTTAAGAACGTTTCCACAGAAGACCAGCTTCTCCAGCTGTAAAATGGGAATACTGAAACCAGTGTTTGCAGATAATGAAACAGAGGCTCAGGCTGGCCCAAAAGCAGACATGGCCATGCAGAAGTCTTAGTTCCTACATCCCACTTCTAAGCATTCAGATGCACAAGTTGCATTTCTAGTTGCACTAAGTCCATTACAACACCCCCAACTTCCAAGGAGCTGAGGTAAAACCTTGCTCCTCATCTGTAATGTTTGAGGAAATACAGGTGCAGCATTGGCAAAGAGATATGCACCTCCCTGGGTGACAGAATAGCATCATTCAGCTAAAACTTACATTAAGTGACTAATGACTGAAAAGTTATACATATAAAAATCAATTATTTCTCTAACATAAATGTGATGTTAGAGATCACTCAATGTTATGGGGGCAGAGGGAATCACAGGGACTTTCAAACCAAGTATCCACTAGCAAGTCCCTCTATTAGCTTTCAGTATAAAACCTACATTTCAAAGCAACAACTGGAATCCCTAGTAATGAATTGTTTACAGTGACTACTGAAGTGTGAAATTAGTCACTTGGGGGCACTACAGAGCAGAAAACTAAGACATTAAGTTTAACATTTGACTGATGCTCAGATTAAAATAAAATAAAGCTGAAATGAAGCTGTCAACTGAAGGCAATCCTTAAAACTGTGGACAAAAGTATCACCGTATCTTCAGGTTTCCTCATATTCTCTTGAGAGCAAACAACTTCCTCATGTTCCTAGAATTCATATTCCCCATTGGCCCCCCCCCCCCAGTTTCTTCCCCCTGCATATTTTGCTACACAGAACAGCTCTTCAGGTAAGCATTCTTGTTTGCAGCATGCCAAGACAGCAGCTGCCAGAAGCAATGTTTCACATAGCTGATTCCAGTCTACCCCAGGAATTTGAAAGAAGGAGGGGGGGTAAAATCAGCAGTGAACACACTGAAGGTCAACGGTAGCCAACTATCAAAACCAGACAGATCATCATGTGTACAACACCATCACTCCTCCTCTCCTGGCTTGCTAGTCATTCAAGTTTTGCTTAAATACATATATTCCTTGGCCAGTTATGTGTTTCCAAAAGTTTGGATTTCAGGCTGGTGCAAGGTAATTTCCAACCTCTATCCAGATAATGAACTGTTAAAGTACAAAGCAACTTAAATTGTCTACATGCAATGCAATGGCCTCTCCTCAGGCTTTAAACAAAACACCATGTAGAGAAGAGTGGCACAAATATAAGAACTTGTTGTTATATATCAATGAAGCAAAGCAAGGAAAAACTGTCTTGTCAGTTATGATAGGAGCTCTGATATCACTGCCATATCACAGTTTGAAATCCAGACACTGTAAGTTAGATTTGTAGAGGAGACGGGCATGAAAGGTTAGACAGGAATTTTAATTCACAGTTGATGAAAATTCTTTCCAATAAGCCCAGAAGGGATGGGCAGGAGACAAAAGGTTCCGCTAGAGATCTTACATCTAGAGAGTTGTGTTTTAATTCCCCTCATCTTGCTTCTTCCTGTCTTGTTAGCTGACATTATGGCAGTATCTTTGAAGACCAGCTCCATCACATTCACCCTTTTCCTAGTTGGATGGGCTAGCACTTTGAACTGTATTCCATCTCTCCTTTGTGAATCACTGTGATCTGATCAGGTCTCCCCGGTAACAAAAGCACATGAATTATCCACAGCTCATCCAAGCCAGGCTACATTCTAATGTATTTTGCAGTTTCATTAACAAAACAACTTTGTTTGCAGCACAAGTAGCAAAACACTTGAAAGAAATATACTGTCAGCAGCAGGTGTGCTTGTCACTACCACATTCACACAGATCAGCAGCTAAGCTTGCTGTTTGGTGTACAGACTCCTGAGCCATAAACACAAAGATAATTTTGGTTGCAGGGATGTGGGGGTTTATATTTACGCACACATACTGAAGCAACCATACAGTTAAAAGCACAGCCTTGAAGCGCTTGTTAGCCCCAGCATGACAAACAGTGAAAGCTGTAACAACTATCTACCCTTGATAGGAGACAGTCATTCACCACACATTCACAGCTTCTCTTTTCTAACTCAGATTAGTCACCAATATGCTCTCAATTACTCAAAAAACCTCAGCGATAAAACCTGGAGAAAAGCTTTCCCTGAAGAATTCCTATAGCCAGTAGCCACTGACTATTGAAGAATAATTTACAGGCAGACAAACTGCTGAAGAGGCAAGGGTATGCTTAACAGCTTCCAAATTTGCAGAGAGACCTAGTATAACTATGCATTGTACTGTATAATACAGAAGGGATAGATCACTTCAGACTCATTATAGCACAGTTGCCACATGTTGGTCAGTGACACACCAGGGAATGGCAACAGCTCTCTTGTATAGTCAGAAGCAGGACAATAAGAAATGAGGAACACCTTAAAGACAGGAGACAACAAGGAATTGACTTTTTTTTTTCAGCGAGGGGAAAGGAACAAGGTTAGGTCCTTTAATATAAGAAAAGAACAGACCAGCATCTGATAGCACATGAGGTAAGGTTTCATGTGACAGAGTAAACTACTGATGCTAAGATGCTGCAGCTAATGGATTTGGGAAGAAAAATACAACAGCCTAAGCCAAACTCCTTACACTGGAGGAAGGTCATTACAACAGATTCTGAAAGGGGGGGGGCATCCAGTGGAGGGAAGTAGACAAATTCCTTCATATGACTTCCACAATGGATGTGAGGAACTAACAGCACCCTGAGTCTCCACTGATCTTGGAAGCTTGTGGTATAAAGTAGACAGGGACAGTCGGAACAAGGAGTACTTCTGGAGGAATTCCATGAACATTAGCCTGCTTGTACTTGAGAAGAACGAATCAGCAGGAGTTTGGTGAGATTTGAAGTAAGATGGGACTCTGGCTTAAAGGCCCATGAACAGTTCAGTAATGAGAACTACAGAGAGCCATCAGTGGTGAAAACAGATCAGAAAAATTTTCAAAAAGCTACCTTTTTTGTACCCAGCTTTTGAAAAATTGTTTCATCTCAAGATACCCTAAAAAGTTGTAGTGTTCTTATGAGTAAGTAGTTCTGATGGGGACAGTAAAAGAAAGAAAACTGCAAAAGCCCCAAGTTGTGGCTACATGCACATAATGAAAACTATTAGAAATATGAGAAATTTACCGTAATCATTGGCACAATGTAACGCCAGTTTTTATTCAGGCTTCCAATGTGGCTCATCTCCTCTTCTGTGAGGCTGAAATCAAACACCTGAGAACACAAGCAAGAGGCTTTATTCAGTGACCATAGGTTATCATTAGTTTGTCTTTCATTTATAAATATGAAGTTGCAATTAAACTCATTTTATAACATCAAAACAAAGGCTTGAAGTCTGAGGTGTTCACACACTTGCTAACTCTAAGCCTACACTGATACTGCATAGCACTCTTCCACAAAGATAAAAAGCAGTGGGACAATTCCTCTAAGTAAGTGCTGCCTATTCAATCAATAGTCTGTTACCCATGTAGATCTAAACCTTGAGTAACTGCAGAGTTTATTGGAATTTCTTGAGATTTCTAGCAGCATACTACATAGCAGGATTTGCTTTAATGGGAGTAACAGTTAAAGAAACAACTCCTAACTTAAAAAACTTAAAAATGTAACCAGCCAATCTGTATGATTAAGGGCTGAAAAAAGATCACAGGAGGTGATTTGGAGACCTCCCTCAAGATTATTTGAAGTCAGAGTTTTCAAATAATTTCTAAAGTGAACTGTCTCTACTTCAGAGCAGCAGTGAACCACACTTATTCCTTCTGCATCATTAGAAAGGCAGTTTGCTGCCAAAATAGTCACCAGCCCTCACTTGCAGGGTAAAGCAACTATTATTCATAAATAAGAACCATTGAACATCATTAGAAGACTCCTTTGTTCAATAAAGTCATGTCTCAAATTTCAGCAAAGATTTTTCATTTAGACTTCCACAAAGTACATTCTTTACCTTTTGGTAACAAGACTGTGCATGTGCACACACTCACACGCTTAGCTGCTTAAAACATATCAAGTTTGTTTTCCAAAAATCTTTACCCTCCCTTCTAAGCATGTGCATACACTGATGAACAAGTTATGAACCAAGTGCTTCAGCTTGTTGCTCTGCAAGTAGTAGGACAGTATATTACTCACATGAAAGGGCATTGCTGAAACTCCTTTCTTCCATCTAACCTTACCTGGAGATTCTGCTGAATGCGAGCGGGAGTGACGCTCTTGGGAATGGCAACCACTTTACGCTGCCCTTGCCATCTGTTAAGAGGAGGAGAGAGATCTTCTGTGCGTGCAGCCCAAGAACCACGATATTTATTTTGGTTGAGTAATAATCTGTGGCAGCAGAGATGCCACTTATGCTTCTATGTGAAATAAAAATATCCAGAAGAGGGCTGACATAGCAATGTATTGTATTAGGACCTAGTATGTCCAAGCTCAAGCAAAACAGTAGCCACTGGACTAATGAATGAGAGGAAGATGTTCATGCCTTTGAACAAGCAATTTTCAGGTGCTTTAAGCTAAAAACCCAGCAAATAATCACAAAAAAATGTACTTAAGCATTTTACACAAGCTCTAACACAACAACCACTGAGAAACTAGAAGAAAACCCAGATCCCTCAAGTGCCTGTCTAGTGGTTTGAGCACAAAATATTGAACATATTCAGCTGGCAGGGTAACTTGCTGCTGCCCAAGACTGTACTAGTTATATTGACAGATACAGAGCCAGACAAAAAAAAAAAGAGGATAGAAATCCAATTTTACTTTACAAGGTGCTGATCATATTCTGGGTATCACTCAATCATCTTGTTTCCCAGTATCCAGCAGCTGGCTTTTACTATATAAAAACAAAACAGCAAATGGTTCTTCAGTGCTAAAGAAGGTCCCTTCCTCAGCCCCCTCTTCCTGGGAGCCCACCTGAATGCAATAGCAAGAGCTCAAGGGTTCAAGCAACTGACCACGTGCAAATTCAGCAGGTGGGACTCAAATGTGGTACACTGCTCTCTTAACTGTCCTACTGCTATTCCACAGCAGAAAAGGTAGCAAACTGTCCCAGGCATGGATCCAGGCCCTGAAAGAACCCCTCTGATCCAGCCCATCCACCTGCCCTAGAGCAGGACCAACTCTACCAACTCTGTAAAACAAGCACCACATGGGGTTTGCTTTTGGCACTCTGATTTTAACTCTTCACCAATGGGGAAGAACACATACTTTAAGTAGATTCCTTCTAACTTACAGGCTCTGCTTTATTTAAGGCCAGGTCCCAAATATCACCCTCTCTCACAATTGTTCTGTACCTGAGGATGATCTGTGCAGGTGACTTGCTGTATTTTTCTGCCAGTTTTTTGATCCCAGGTTCTTCTAGAAGCACAGGCTCATCTGGGTGTTTCCACATGCGATCTGGAGAACCAAGAGGACTGTAGGCAGTGACAACCAGTCCTCGTTTCTGGCAGTGAGCTATCAGCTCATTCTGAGCTAGGTAAGGATGGCATTCTACCTATTAAAATGACCCACAATGAGTGGCTAGAGAACAGATATCAACACAAAACTCTAGACAAACAGGAAGTCAAAAGCAGAGCAGAACCAAACACATCACAGGTCATTCCAGATTCTGGAAAACCTTATGAGGATAAAGTTTAAGTTAAGAAGAATAAAAAAGTGTCTGGTAGGCTAAGTTTAGAGGAAAAGGAGACTAGATCACCTAAGTTTAGAGTGCTAGATTTTCCCCATGTACCAAACAGACCATCCAACAAACAAAGAAGCTCTCTATAGAAGGGATTCAAGTTACTCCCTCAGTCTTTTTTTCTTATAGAGTAAAATGATCCTCACAAAGACAAACTCTTCCACTGACCTGTTCAACTAAGCAAGTATAAAGGGCCACACAACATGGATATAGGCCTCTTCTGCAACAAATTAATTTGCCTGGAAGGACTGCCCCGTGTGCCTGCTCCTGCAGAGGCAGCTATATTCCTCCCTGTGCATCAGAAACTGCACCCCTTGTGCTAAACACATAGCATTGGTTTGCAAATTCTTCACTCCTATGGACACATGGGAAAGGTACTCTTCCTCTCCTTCATTCATCTTACCTGGAGCACAGCTGGTTTGACAGTAGCCACACTTAGTACATCATCAATCTGACGACTGTTGAAGTTTGACAGCCCAATGGCTTTCACAAGACCTTTTTCCACCAGCTTCTCCATAGCCTTCCAGGTATCCTTATAATCAGTGTAATCATAACGCATCGTGTTATCAGGATTCTTTGGGAAGAGATTGTCCCCTCGTCTATAGCATCAAAGGTAAAGTGTAAGTACATATACCACATTGTTTCTATTATATTAGCTCTTCACTAAAAGCAGCTTTCCTCAAAGTATTCTCAAAAGCTTATACATAGTTTGGAGAGTAGAGTACAAACTGAGCTAATTTGTCTGTTGAATTTCATTATGCTGACTTAACCTATAAGAACTTATTTCACATACAGTCTTTCCTATGTAAACTTGTTATACAGTACTTTGAACTACTTACCTGTACGATATTGACTACACAGAACTGATAAGTCAATGTATACACAGCAGCAGCTCTTTGCACACTTTGATCCTAGCAAACCAGTTGATTTAGAGAGCAGCAACTCAGAAGGCAGCTTTAGTTGCTCAATTTGTTTTTGAGGGAGGACTAATATTCTTCATAGTCTGGAGCTGCTACCAAAGGGATCTTGGTTTAAGGGCTATCTAGGAGATACTGCATTCAAAGTACGCTGGCTCTCCCACTCCCTCTGGATTCTGTAGCAGTGTTAGCACTCGATACAAGACCTCTGTAAGAATCTGCACTTAACATGTACATGTTGATTGCACATTGGGTGTGTTTCCAGTTAGTCATACCAACACATTTAAAAAATAAAAATAAAAATTAAAACCAAAACAAACATAACACACACAGTGCGACACCACCACACTGCCAAAGGGCTATGACTGGTATCTGAGCAGTCTGTGCTTGAAGGGGTGCCAGCAATCCCACTGGGAGAGCGCTGCTTTGTAACCACTGCAGGACTCCACTAGCTCAGATCTCAGAGACAGACTTACATGGCCCTAGCTAAGCAGTGAACAGTGTGAGAAATGGCAGCAGCTGGGGACAAGGGGAGATGGTTCTTTTTCATGTCATTGATAGATCTAGAACCAAAAAAACTCAGAAAACCCTATGAGCTCCCAACTTAGAAAAGCCGCCTCATATGTCAAGAGTAATACATTAAGTGAGAGATTAATTTTCAATACCTAGATGCACTGTGATTTTCATCCAGTCTATTTTAATTTCTGTGTAACATTCTTTTGCTTGGCTTCCCAATACAATAGGCATTATAGATAACCACACATTAAAATAGTTGAAGTAGAGCTAATAGAAACCTGAAGAGTGAATGGTTTCAAATGAGAAACTGCTTTATTAGAATGTCAGTTTTGTCAACAGTTTCCGCAACATCAAATACATTTAAATATTAGTAACTTCTAAATATACATCACTATTTGTGTTATTACCAAAGCAATGTTTAATTTTTTTTTTCCAATCAACGGGAAAAGAAACCTGTTTCACAACAGGGGGAATTTTTAACAGTTCTTCCTTCAAACCAGCTCTAGTTGAAAACACTTCCTCATTCTGTTATGCTGAGAAGTATATTTATACTTTGAGCATCTTTCCTCTTATCATTAGTGTTGTATGCTTTGTAAAATTCAATTCATATGACTAGAAAGGGAAAAAAACATTCTCAAATTTGCAGAACAGACAGAAGCCATTTAAACTGACAGGGTTTCCCCTGTTGAGTAAAGTCTCCATGCAAACATGTGGTAAGGAGATTTATCCCTCCCCCCTGCCCCTTGCTTTTTACTGATTGGGGCAGGGTGGGTTGGTGGGACTGCATCCACGTCTGCAAGAAAATAAAGCAAGGAACTCTGCTTCTGATGGGGTTGTAGGATAAGTGCATTGAACACTTAACTGGAAAGCTTTCTCATCTCATATTTCCTCAAATTGTAGAATTACTGCAACTAGAGTGTCAAAAGAAGTAATTTTCGTTTCCTGCTCATACAGATACCACCATGATACTGCATGTGCTTGACCACTCCATTACAGTTAATAACTATTAGTGAAAAGTTTTGTCTTCTTTATAAAGCACTTAATTCTCATTTTACAGATAAATAAAACTAAGGCACAAAGCAGTTTTGGTACTTCCTCAAGGTTACCATGTAGGTCAATAGCAGAACCAAGAACAGCTGCCACACTTACCCAATGCATAGATGATAGACACTAGACTATTTTAAACTTCTAATATATTTTAAACTCAAAGATTTTACCTCCTAGCAAGGCAAATTTTCAGCTAGCATAAGATGGCAAACTTCAGCATAGAAACCTGTCCCATAAAGCTTTATTACTTTTTCCCAGTTAGACTACTTTCAGTTACCTAACTTTGGCACCCATGCCAAACTGTCAGAAGTTTAGTCATCTTAATTTCATTACCTAGTTGTTCCCACTATTAAAAATTAAGTAATTGCTTAAAGATTTTAAATGAATACTTAATACTCATTTTTCCAGCCTCATCATTGCTAAATGAGAACAATGCTCCCTTTTCTATTTACAATACTTCTACACAAAAACAGAAGTTTTGTCTCCTCTACTGTATGTTTACAGACATGCTACAAATCTAAAAGTAAACAAATTCCCACCCAACTGAAATTTAAAGAAAAATGACATTTAAAAAATTGTTCCTGTGAATGATGGACCAAATATGAGTAAGTGTACAGGTTGTGGGTAGAAAAGAGTGTCTATATGACAGTCTGTTGGACTACACTATTAGCCACACTGAAAAACATCTTGCAGGCAGTATACACAGGAGGAAATTCACAGCTCAGAAAGAAGGTCCTCAAGTTATAACACCAGCGACTTATGCAGAACTGGGGTTTCTGCATTCTGTGCCCTTTCCACGTAGAACTTACTCAAAGGCATGAGGCCAGTGCATGAGGTACAGGTCCAGGTAATCCAGTTTCAAATCTCCAAGTGTTTTCCTTAGCGCTGGCTCTACATCTTCTGGGTGGTGCTTGGTATTCCAGAGCTTTGATGTTACAAACAGGTCCTCCCTTTTAATAACCTTTAAGAAAGGGAGGAGAGCATAATTTACTGGAACAAGTTCAGAAAGAGAATTGCAGCAATTCCCCAACTAGCTTTAAAACAAAGAGAACAATTTAAGTTTTGGTTTTGTTTTTTTTTTTTAAAAAGGTAACACGTGCAATGTACAGATTAAACCTTTCAAAAATATACTGGATGGAATGAGAGAAATACACACATTGGCGAGTCCTAAAATATACCAAATACTTAGCAATTTATTAGAAGATCTGAAAAACAAAACAATCCTCTCCACACACACTCTTCTCCAAACTTTCCCATTCAAGGGTTAAAGCCACTACTAAGTGTGATATAGCCAAAAGAAAGATAACAAAATTTACATATGAATAAACTGAGTAATTTCTGTTTAACAATTCACATATTCTAGGCAAAACCAGCTAACTTACTCTACTCACATGTTATAAACCAAGAATGCTTCTCATGGAAAGAGCGTGGGAAAATAAACAGAATAAGTTTCCCCAAACCTCTGCACTTGAGTTTCCAGGTTCTGGAAGGAACGCACTAAGAACTGAGCACCCTGTACCCTGTGTTGGAAGGGTAAGACCCAGAAATTAAACAAATAGAGAATTGGTTAACTAGGAAGTTTAAAATGCAAAGGGGAGATCATATTTGGCAAACTGAAGCACAGAACACCATCAGAGGTCACTTCTCACTGTCTTATGTGTAACCAAATACCACTTAAGTCTATACTTTGTAGAAGCTGGAATGATTAATTCCTTAGTTTCTCTCCTCCAACCATTCAGCTATTTCTGTGTTTCACATATGGCTGCTGTGTTCAAAGAGAAAGATGTTTTAGAAATTCTAGTTTTAAGTTAGCTAGCTAGTATGAACTGAGTAAGAGAGTCCTATGCTTCCTTATATTAGTTACCATATCTGGTAGGAAGGAATCCCTGGAGCAAGCAGAAAACAGCCTCTCTCAAGCTAATCACATAACAAAGAGATTGCCCTAAAGCCAAGGCAAGAGCAGTAGGAAAGCAGGAACATAAGAACCTTCTTTCCACGGGCTCTGAGGCTGTACAGGTAATTGTTCTGGCCTTTCAAGCCAACAAGAGCAAGGGGATGAATTTAATATTCCACCTCAGGTCATCCACAGGAATGCCTGTCGTATTACATTATATTTAGGCCATGGACTCTCAGGTGCAGGTCCTAGAATCACAGTTCCCAAACCTTCAAAAGCAACCACTGTTTAAAAAGAAAAAAATACATATTTACTCACTCATATTTTATCTATAACCAAAAAACCCAGTCACTGAATTTGCTGTGGCTACCCACCATTGCGTGCTATTCCAGACTGGCAAACTAGAGTAACTTTTTGTATAAATCGTGGCAAATATTTTACATTATAACTACTGATTCTGGGAACCTCCAATTTTTGAACACCCAAATTGGGATACTTTGCAAGGGAGAGAGGGACATGCAGGGAAATTTAAAAGGCATTTTCTGTAGCTTCCCTGCAAATATTCCTGGCAATCTTTTCTCCTCCTGACAGCCAGGATGGTTATTAGAGGACAGAAAGCCCTCTTTCATGCCTGCTCCTGATTAATAACAAACAGCTGGGATAGTCTAGGAGGAAAAGCCACAAATGTTAACTTTACAGTCTACTTTCAGGTCACAGTTGTAAATTTAGAGACAACACACAGTCAGCATGGTTGTTCTTGTCTTTTTACCTTGTTGGGCCCAAGGCATTCCTGGAAGGCCTCACCGATCTCCACTTCATTGCTGTAAGCTGCTGCACAATCGATGTGTCGATAACCCACACTTAGGGCATATTTCACCGCTTCTTTCACCTATTATCAGAAACAGATTATCGAACACAATCAGTGAAAAGGATCACATGACTGGAAGAAGAAAAAAACGCACACATTAGGGCCTTAGTGAGGAATACCCCCAAAACACAGATCTATATAAGGTCACGAGACTCAGAGTAGGATACAGTCCTCTGTGGCACAGTCTTTAGGAGTGAAGAGCTAACTGCTAGCAGACACTCCAAGAGTAACAAGAAAACAGACCATGCATGCAAGAACTCAACAAAATAGAATAGGGATTCATTCTTAACTATAGTTGTCACACTTTTCTTAAATATAAAACGAGCTTTAAGAAGCAGTTTTCAAATACATCATGGCTTAGGAAGACAAACTTTCTGGAACTAACAGACCAATCAATCAATGTCAGTCAAGAGCCTGGTTGCTAATTCCAGAATTGCCAGAGTTTGGGTTTGGTTCAACTGCTAACACTTAATTTCTATGATAATGCTATTCTATGGCACATTTTTCCTTCATGTCTCATTCTCTCTGATTGCACAACAATGGAAGTCACTATACTGCTGAATATTAACCCATGGCCTGCAGGGGATTTCCTGATGATGCTTGCAACTTTGCATTTTGCTTTCCCCATTGCTGACAATGAAGGTGTTGCCAACAGCAACAGGTCCCTTGCGAGAACCAAGAATTACTACAGATTTCAGAGTCATCATTATTTCCCGTTAGACTGACAAGCACTAAGTAAAGTCTATTTCATTTAACTTCCAGTGGACAGTAAGCACACATTCTCTTTTACGTCTATCCAAAGCACTACAGTAAGAGTACATCTTATCTTTCTACACACTGCTCTTCACTGACTTGTCTCTTAAGATTGTGAAAGATTGTAAATTACTCTGTGTATAAGGCTTGATGCAATAGGGCCTTAATGTATTTATAGGGATTATGTCTCTCTTCAAGAGATTAAAAAATGTGTCCACAAAGGCTAGAGAGAGATTAATTTCTTTCAACTTAATCAAAGTACCAGCATTTTCAATTTTAAAGCTGATAAAGTTATTAACACCAATTAAAGACATGTGCAGTCCTGCTTTCAGGTGCTACAGAAACAGAAGGGAGAATCAAATCTGAAAAATATATCTCTTCTACTGATGGATTTAATTTGTTTTTCTTGTCAAGAACTGCAGTAGACAGAGGATATTCTGACTGCATTCTTTGGCATTTTGAGAGGAAAACTGGAATGCAGACCAGTTTCCCTTAGCCAGAATGACAAAGCACTTCTATTACAGCAGTGAAGTAAGCTCTTCCTTTCTCTAGCAGGATGGTATTTACAGTCTTTGTTTCACTTTGACAAAGACATTCCTCAGAAGGTCACTATAAAGTCAAGGTCGTGGTAATTCTGAAATCAGTTCAGACATATTAAAGACTTTTAAGACTCAATATTCACCCTCCAAAAAGGTGAGAGTTGTAGAGCTGAAGCAGAAAGGAAAGGAAAAACAGTAGCATTCTTTGTCTGTATTAATGCCCCATTTCCTCTATCAGGATAATAATTTTTTTTAAATCCAAACAGGCACAAAATTTGCCATAAAATTAATGTAGGCACCACTCGCAGAGAACTAGGGATAAGAGAACTCCAAACATGTCTCTGCAAAGCGATAAACAGGAGGCTGTATTTCTGTATCAGCATGTTTTGATAAGTTTCTAGCACTGAAAACCTGGGATTGGTCATTTAAATAAGGTTTGGATTTGGACAAAATCTGTATTTCAGCAAACTACTCTCAGCCTGCTAAGGCATTCCAATGTGAACTGAGAGTTCCTGTTCCACGCAAAAGGCAAACAATCAAGAGAAAATGTGCAAAGAAAAAAAGCATTTCTGGAGGGGAAAAAAACCACTAACTAATAACAGATAGATGTAAGTTTAAGAAGAGTATTTTGTTTCAACGGAAAGTTTTGTATTTTTGAGCTTATGTTCAGACAGGTACATGCATTTCCTCGGGGGCAGATTAAAAAAAAAAAAAAAGAGACAACAGAAGCAGTTGGAGATTCACATGCCTCTGGATATTTGGTGTTGTGAAGTAACAGCCGCCAAAGGATCATTCGAACTTCTCACATATTCTTTAGTTTAGCCTGTCAATACTACTATGGAAGAAGCAACTACTGAGTTCATTTTGCATTAGGCAACTTGAGCCACACAGCTTAAGTGTGACTCACCAACCTAGCATCATATAACTACCAGAAAGTAGGTCTGAAAGGAGTCTATCCTCATACCCCACAGCAGGACCAACTAAGTCTAAACAACTCTTACACACAATTGTCAAAACCCTTCTTGTAAGTGACAGGCAGTCTATTCCAATGATCAGACATCTTTAGGTTCAAAGCCTTTTAGATGTCTAACCAAGATGGCCCTGATACCCCATCCTAGTCCTCAGACATGAAATCCATAGCTCCCCCTTTGTGAGGGCTTTTGGCGCATTCGGAAAGCACCAGCATGCCTCCTCTCAAACCTCTCTTGACCATGTACCTGTAGATGCTTCCATCTTTCATCAAAACTCACCTTTCCCAAACCCTGTATCACTGTTGCTGCTGTCCCATCATGCTTTTCTTGAAGTGGTTTGCCCCAAAACAGACAGTATTGCAACTGCAGCTTTACTCTCCTTCATCGTATAGTGAAGTCCTAGGAACTACACCCCCATTTATACATCCTAGCTAGGTACTTGGCCTTCCCATCCACCCTTTTTTGTTTTTGAAAATGGAGGAACACAATATTGCTAACAATCAGTGGCAGAAACAGAATCTGTAAGACCCAATTCATTGTAATATCCATTACTAGATTTTCAGTTCTTCAGTTTGCATGTCACAAGGTGAAAAACTAACAAGCCAACTTTATACTTCCAAGCAACACAGAGTTCAAGTGACTAGAGAGCCTCTTCTCCACAGCCCCAAGCCATTATGATGAAGCTTTCACTCTAAGAGTTCCAGTCAATAATACTTGGAAAGAAAAGGCTCTGACAGCCTCCCCTGCTTCCTGCAAAGTTGTCATGTTTTAGCAGTCCAAGTACATTTACTGACAGGAAATAGGAAAAAAACAGATCAGTCCACATGATATTCAGATGCAATACGACCAGAACGTAAGTATTGCTACATCACAGTCTGTACATACTGTACTAAAATTTGCTAAAAAGGAATTCAGACCATAAGTAATGCCAACTTAAAGAGTTGATGTTCCCTAAAATAAAGAGTTCTGCCTCCTATCCTTCAGATGTTGAATTCAAGTCCCTCCCTTAATATAAACCAGCAGTAATGAATTCTTGTGCATGTAACCAGGATTCTCTATGTTGTCTAACAAACTTTTCCAAGAACTAAATAGTCTTCTCCATAGCTGCAATCTTGTCACAAGACATCCAGTCTGACTGGTTTTCTGAGGTACACATTTCTTCTTCAGCTTTCCTGAAGTTTCACACAGAAATACGACTTCCCTAAGCCCCGTCTCTCTTCCCCACAGAGCCAGTCTCTGCCACAGCAGGTTAGACTGTTCATCAGATGGGGATCAATCCTCCAGGATGAAAGCATGGCCCACTCGAAAGAAGAGAACAAAGCATTAAAGGATTACAGATAATCAAGGTCCAATATTAAAAGAACCTTGTTACTGTTATTTTGATGCTCCCGTCTGAATGGACTTCTCTTTGAACTCATTCATGATGCCAGTTCATAAGCTTCTGTACTGTGTTCCCTTCCATTCAGTAGCCCTTCATCATGTTCCTATGGTAACATGTAAAACAAATTTCTAGCATTTGATCTTGTAAGACAGAAAACATCCTATTATTTTATAGGATCTATATCCTATAAAATCTTAGTTTTCCAACATGGATTGAGATTCACTAATTTCCCCCCCCCCCTATTCTTACTGTCTAGAAAAATAGGGCTGCAATGACACCTTTGTACTGGACTGCTAAGATCTGGCTACAAGGTCAAGACTTGTTTAGGATCAGGAACAGTAACAGCAATAATAAAGGAATTACTCAAGAGAGTAAGGTCAAGACTGAATAGCAGCTTGGCAAGGAAAATAATTACAATCTGCAAAATATTTACCTGAAATAATTTAAAAGCCATCCACTTCCACTCTTGCTTCTAATGTATGCCTTGCATAAAAGAACTTTTGATAAATAGCCTCTACTTGGGAAACAGCTAGATTAAATATAATCTATTATAATTCTCCTGCTTCTCTAGGTTTTTGGCACTTAGTCTTTAATTCATAATTACAATAATTCTCCCTGAACTACATCATGTGCTTTTAAGGGTAAATCATCTGCACGTTCTGCCAAATTGCTGCTATGCTTCTGCATTTTCAAGAGTGACAAACAGGAATTTATTTATTCCATAGGAATAGCAGCTTCTGTGACTGGCCATTTTCACCGCACCTTCTAGATTTTGCCTTCAATATATTCTAGGAATAAGCCTTTGAAGATAGTAGATATTCTAAAGAAGTGACTCCCAATGATTTCCATGGGACCCCAGAGAAGATGGCTGGATCCCATGTGGGGTTCAGCTGCTAGAAGCACTGCTTACTATGGCAAAATCCATCTGAATTAGGTTTAAATTATAAGAGAACCAGTAAGGATCCTGCTTGTGCATAAGACCACACTTTCCTCAGAACAGTTAGTGCGCAAAACAAACACCACATTCATATTTTGTTTGTTTAGTTTCAGGCATTTGTTTCAGCCAATGCACATTTAACTGCTCTGGGTGCACAGAAATTCATCCATTAAGTTCCTGCATGTTAATAAACTTAATTCAGCTGTCAGATAACGTTTTAAGTGACAGAGCTGAACATTCACACTTGTCCTCATTTGAGAGGTTGACTGAGCTTTCACTCCAACTCAGCTTCCACATTAGGACAGCTTCTATTCCCAACAATCCACTGTCCTGACAGTTGTTTGGACAGGAAGACCGACAATAAAATGGCCCTGAATAGATTTAATTTTTATAGCTTGTTTCCCACCTTTTCCTCTAGCTGGCATGAAAAAATAGCACAACGTCTTGAGAAGGGTTTTAACTTTCCTTCTCAGTCACGAGCACAATGTCATCCCACATACTCCAAAAGCTATCATAAAGCTAAAGCAAGAGCAGCAGTAAGATATACAATGTTTACTGCACAGACATACAACAGTACACATAATCCAAAAGGCATGATAAACAACAATACCAGCTATGAATTCCACCAAGCAATGGACATTGCCTTTCACAGCAAGTAGGTGCAATCTCTCTCCCCAAGAATTTATCTTTTAGCCAAATGAAACAGAAAGGAAAAAACACACAAGGGGGAGAAGTATTACAATAGGAGGCACAGTCCATAGCATGCAAACATTCCCACAGACAGTTTATAGTAACACACAGAATTGTTGCCAAGTGTGGTGTTTGCCAATTCATTGCATTTAGAAGCAGAATGAATGTCTAATGACACAGTAGTCGTCTTAAGTCTAAAACCAGGGTGACCCAAGCACGTTGTTTTTTCTGCTAAACATAGGCTGACCACTGGAACAGGACTTGTTACAAGAACAACAGAGTTCTTGCCTCCTAAAATAATGCTTTCAGCTGAGTCACAAGCCCAAGCCAGAGGGACGTCTGGTCAAAGAGGCAGCCCGAGGATTTACCAGTGGAAGAGTCAAGCACCATATTATAGCTACAGCATTTTCCCTGTCTCACCCCACTCAGTGGATTCATCTCCCACAGCACCACTGCCTGAGGCCGAGGTTAACAAGTCTTAAGGAATCTTCTGCTGCTGCTTTTGTGCCTTAAGGCCTTAGTCATGCAGATACATACATACATTCTACTGACTGCAGAGTACCTGAGACTAAAACCATTGAAGCAAAAGATCAAGGCCTCAGATCTAGGATCTTCAAAAAGGGTGCACAAAACACAAATACTAATCAAGAGCACATTTTGTAGAGTTCTCTGCTTACTTGGCCACGTTCACTTTTCCAAGTTCCCAGTCCTATGAGAGGCATCTTCTGCCCAGTGTGGAGCGCAACAAAGTCGCATGCTGCAGACATTTTTGCCTGAAGAAGAAGAACAAACCGAGTTTGAGCAATTCAGCAAGTTGCAACAATTTACCTTTTCTATACAAAAATAAATAAATAAATAAAAATCATAGAGGTCCTCATTACACTAGAATAAAGATGAAGTAGGTTCTTTACAGTTTTTACTGGTATAAAGGAGATGAATAGCTATGCAGGAGAGATTAGAAAATGAGCCCTTTTTCTCCTCTCCCTTCTTACTCTCTTTTGTCCTTTACAATGCACAGGTTTAAGATTTCTCAGAGCTGAGAAGTACAAGAAGAAACATCCTGCAATAACATACAATTAATAGAGAAACTCAGGTGAAAACATGCTTTTTTTTTTTTAAATCAGCAGTAAGCATTGATGAGGCAGAAGGGAGCAAGAGATGTTTGTCTGTCCTCCTTAGTGTACAGGAATTCCATAGCTCTTCTGCACCAAGTCTTTCTCTTTCACCAACTCACTACCAGCTGGCTCAGGAACAAAGCTCTAATTACCACTGCAGTTGGGAATAAACACATTTTGTAAGAAACAGCTGGTACAGGTTAAGGTTTGAAGACCTGATAGGGTTTTGTTTAGGAGCGAATGGTAAAGGCATTTATGAAGGCATAGCCCAGAAAAACACAAAATAAAAAAATAATGCTTGGAAGAACATCAGCGCTGGAGGATCAGTCTCATCTTTTTGTGCCAGATATGTGCTTTTGTCACCCTTGAATACCAATTTTCACCAACTCGGAGCTGAACTACAGCTCATCATCAAGGCTGTCTAGCATTGTGAAGAAAACCAGAAACATTCTGGCTTCGTTTGAAACAAGAATAATTGTTTATGAACTGTTATATACCTGCAACAGGCATATGCTACCAAGTGAGATGACTACTTTTTTTTAAAAAAAAACAACCCAACACTAAAAAACCCTCTCTGATGTGAAGTCAGGGCTAGCAGAGAGAACAAAATGGCGGCACTTTCAAAGGTGGACACTAGGAAATAACACTTCAGTACACATATCATGTAGAAGTGGTGCATATATATTTTTTTTTAATCATTCTGACATAGAACTAGAAATAGGCATGTGCAAAGTGAGCTAAAATGCAGTAGGTCCTTACATATTTATGTGTTTTGAATCCTAAAATAACTTTGTCTTCCTGCTCTTTTCCATCTCCTTGCTTATTCAGAAAAGGACACTATCTTGTAAAGAGCTGAAAGATTTCTTGTTCCCATACTGCCAAAATCTACATCTGGACTCTGAAGGAAATTCAAGACTAAGAGCTCAACTCTCGCAGAAGATGCACTTCAAGTACAAACAGAATGCAATAGCTAGCATTGCTATTATCAAAAAGTGTCACACAACTGATTTACAAATCAAATTCACAAAAGAGTAGTGTTCTTCTGTTACTAAAAGGAGAATGAAAAAAGATTATGCAAAGCCAGTTGTCACGTTGAGCCTGGGCTGCTTCTCTCATGCTTAGCACTGCAATATCCAAGCATTTTCCCTGTGAAATTCAACAGAACAAAGGCCCAGCAGGATCTTCCATTACCTGTTGTTGGCTTTATAGCTGTGCAACAGCAATCTGCTCACAGTCACACAGCTTTTTATCAAAAAGGAAGGTTTTACAGTGTCTCCCAACATCCTCACAGTCTACATTTCTGGTCAAACTGTCAAAAAGAAACCACATTCAGGATGAGCTCCAAAGCTGGCTAGCTGATTTCAGCACAAGCTGAGGAAGTTACTTCCCACGTTCAGTTGTGTCCAACCTCATTAATGTTCTTTGTTTAAAAAACTCAAACAAAACCAAGAGTGGAAGAATGCAATGTTGGTTGAATAGCTGACTACATGGGAGGAGGAATAGATGTTTTCAAAGCAGAGCATTCACACAGCACACTATCCCAAAATAGCTCTGCCTTCTCCCTATTGTTATCATTTTCCTCAGATAATTAAGTCCCAGCTGATGGATGTATTCACACAGAAAGTTTATATTTTCAATTTCTTGCTTCAAGCCCTATTTTTGTAGATTTACAGCAGACACCAAACAGCACACTTGTTTTAGAGACATATTAGAGTAGTTGGAGTGATCCTGACCTAAAGGCCATTATACACCAAGGAGCTGGTGATCCACATAACAGTTAACCTGAGTGGATCCAGGCTTGTTTTGTGCTGTGCTTCTTGTACAGCGTGGCCTTCAGGCCTGTGCTGTGGGACACACAGCCCATGGCTGCAGGATAAGCTCAGCAGCTAGTTGTAACAGGGGAGCCTGCAGGCAGCTCCCACTTGGTACCTGCAATTACACCACCTATGTGTCCTTGCCTTTATCTAAAAAAACAGGCAGTTCTCATGCAAGTATCCTTTCTGTTTGACAGTAGAAATGATGAATAGAGTTGTTTTCTTGTAAAAGAATACCTAACAGCTCAAGTGACTGAAATGGGGTAACCCCTTCTATGGACAGGGCCTGCACAACATGCTGTGCATGAATCAGAGGAGGTCTGTTCAACACTGCACAACCCTGGGTTCCCAGAACCTGAAAGAATGTAAGATTATCAATACTACCCTCTTTCTTTATAGGGTTAGCTCTGACAAATAGCATTTGAGATGATACTTTACAGAGTCTGAGTGCCTTTCTTATCAGGATTGTAACAGACCAGCACCTCCTGGTGCAAAACAGCAGTTAAACATAAACTAATGCTCTGAAGTTGCACTGAAATGTATTAAGTCCAGATGTTAGCACTGAAGGCAATCATCAGTGAACCAAACTGTGGGTGTACATCTATTTTTTGGGGGGTAGGGAGTCAGTGAAGGAAGAAAGATGACAACAACAGTATTCTTTTCTAGTCTGAATTTGCATAGCAATTTTGTAGTCAACTACCTGCAAGTAGGTGCTTTTTACCTGAATTTAGTTGCCTAAATAAAGGTATCTTCTTACACTAAGCAATACAACTAAAGACTTAAGGGTTTTTTGATTCAAATTGGTCTGTAACACAAATATGACAGAACCATATGCTTTACACAACCATGTTACACAATCATCTTGAATGCAACACTTCAGCCCAGAAGACAAGGTACACATTTAAACAATAACTAGCATCAGCACATTTTCCAAGAACCATCTTGCTTCATGTAACACTGTTGCATATTAACATTGCAGACAGAGCAGAACTACAGTCTCTGGCAGAAAGGAAACATGCCGGAATTGGACATACTGGAAGAAAACACACTAATTAATATTTTCCACTCAGATTCTTCCCCTAACAAGGAGATGTAAGAGAACTGCAGTGTCTGCTAGCTATCATTATTTGGTTCATTAAAAAGCTGGAAGCCTCTTTTTAGAAGAGCAAAGACAAAAATAAACATAGAAGCAAACTAATTCTGGACAAGTAAGATGTGGTTTTGGCTTAACAATACTCACCTATTGCCACATTCACGTAAGAGTTAAAGCTCAGAGTAATTCAACAGCAATATAAGTAGTCTGGCTAGGAGGATGCATTAATAACCAGGGAAGCGCAAGCCACACCTGTGCATCAACCCACAGCCACAACTCGTTTTTAACCGAAAGTAAGGAGTCTTCCATCAGTAAAGCACACGCAAAGATGTATTAAATTAACAGGCATAGACATGCGAAGAGGTATGCACTGAGAACACCGAAGTCCCTGCTACCGAATCGCCGCTGACCCCGCAAACGGGGGCTATCCCTCCGTATTTGGGTGGCACCAGACGTGCCCCGGCAGGGCAGCGCGCCCACCTCCCCCTTATCGGGGCGGACCAGAGAGGGTCCGCCCCGCGGCGGGAGGCGATAAGGACACCCCGCCGGCCCGGCGCAGCCCCCCGCCGCACTCACCCGCAGGCCGCCGAGCATCAACCGCCCCCCTTACGGCGCCGCCGCCCGCTTATAGCGCCAGCGCCGCCGCCGCCTGGGCCGACGCTTCCGCTTCCGGCTGGAACCGCCGGCGGGCGCGGGGAGGCGCTCTGGCCCGCCCC